AATAATTATGAGGTGATGTTCAAGTAGTAATTCTATGTTGTTTAAATTAGAAAAGACATCCATTCCAATTTTTTCATCAAAATTTATTGTAAAAGAAATTTTATCCCATTCTTTGATCATTTGGAATAATTTCTGTTGTGACTCTAATTCTCTATTAGCACCTATACTAATAGCTTCGTATTTTTCAATATCAGTCATTAAATTAAATGAAATAATCTTTCTTAAACTGGTCCCAGCATTGGGTGTGAGATCAAAATTACATATTACAGACATTTCTATCCAATGTCGTTTTTGAAGAGCTGGATTACACATACATGTCACTAATGGTAAATATTTTTTAAAATCATTTATATCATTAAGTGCTTGCCAGCATAATTTTAATGGTGCTGGTTGTTGCATTGGATCTGGATCATCTGCAATTCCAGAAAATTTAAAACATTTATTTGCTATTATATCCATTTTAATTTTTGTCTTAAAGGTTTTGCTCATTTCAGTAATTTTTTCAAAATAATTCAATGTTTTTCTCTCTATGGTAACAGCATCTAACCATTCAAAGGGACCATCCAACCATACTAAATTATCTTTTTGCCACTGATAAATTATATAGATAAGGTCATAAAATGATATAATTATTTCATGTAATTCAATTACAGTAGGAAATTCAGTTTCAGGAAATTTAAATAATCTTTCTTCTTCATTGATCCTTTGCATTTCATGATTAATTTGATTTACTTGTTTAAGGAGCTTTTTGTAATATTCAAAATATTCTCCAATGTTATTTATATCATCCATATTATCCAACACATCGAGTTGAGGTACAATATTATCCACTTCAAAATTTAATTTATTTATTCGTTTTTGCATATCATCCTCTAACTCGTTTTTCATTGCCTCACACAATATGTTACTTTGTTTAAATACTGGTTCAATTTCATACAACCAATTAATAGTTTTGTTATTTAATTCAATATGATCCTCTGAAAAAACTGTAATTTCTGATAGCATGCTTAACATGTGTATTGATTTTTCAATCTTACATTCTAATTCTGTTATTAATGTTTGTGATACATATGAGATGTAATCAATTAATTCAATTAAAGATTTTGCATTTTTTGGTACATGTAATGCTTTTATTTTTAAATCTTCAAATTCCAAACAAATGGACAGATTGTATTCTTGGTGGTATTTAATAAGTTTATTTAAAAAAACATTTATGATATTATATGATTCTTGTTTCAAAACTTGTTTAGCTGTATGTTGCTCTAATTTCCCTACTACATGATATGTATTGATTATCATTGCATTGACTTTCATTAAATATGTATTGTATTCCTGTATATGTTTGAGGTATAAATCAAAATTTATCTCTCCTGATGTTAACGATAATATTATTTTCCTTAAATTGGGTGCACAAATAGGATAAAATTCTTCAGTAATGTTTGCTACATGTTTATTTATAGATTGAAATAAGTTATGTAATATAACTTCCAATCTGTTATGAGATTCTTTGACATACCAATCTGGTAATTTTATTTTAATATATCTGAAATGTCTTTTTATATCAAGCCACTCTTCCAACGGTACTAAATCTTGAGCAATTGCCCCAATTTTTTCAATTATGCAATGATACATAGAGTATACTTCTTTGACACTAGGACTAAGAAGTAATTGATGATCTTGCATGATAAGTTGGAACTTTATTTGTGGACAGTAATGTCCATCACTCATAATGTTTAATATATGATTAATAGATTTTATCATAACATTTAAAATCTGTTGTACAAAAACATGTGTTATACATTGCATAATATTTGATAATTTTCTTTCATTAACATTTTTCAAAATCTTAGACTCTGCTATAGTTCTTGATATTTCAGTATAAAAGTGATTTGTTATTGCTAATGATCCTTTCTTAATGTCAGTGTTAATAATATTTTGAAAATCACTCAGTGACATAAGTCCAATATTATGATAATATTCAAAATTGCAGATAACTGCTGGAAGTTTAAGTTGTGCACTATTTATAATGATTTTTATTGGTTCTAGAAAAAGGAAATATCTTTTCTTCAATAATTTACGATGCTTCAAAAAAGTATCGTATTTAAAAGTTTCTTTTTCATCTAAAAATTTATAGTTTATACAATTTATAAGAGAAGAATAATCTTCACTTTTTCTTGGACTTGTTAATATAATTTTACTTAAAAAATCTTGCATATCTTTAACATAAATATCTTTTACTTCCTTTAATAATGTACCTATTAGTAGACAATATTTTTTTCTACATTCCTTGGGTAAAAATTCCAAAATATTTTTTTCCCAATCAATGGGAAATTCTTTGAAAGAAATGTTTTTCAAACAGATTTTCATTTCATTATATACTAATGTATGATCAAACATTGAAGTAGTGGTAATTAAATTGTCTGAATTGTGTACATTTACCATGTGCCTGTCCATGTTTCATGTAGACGAATTTGTGGAAAACTGTGTTTTATACATTGAAAAATTAAATCCACACTATTAACTATACTGTAAATTCACATTCATATGAATATGGAATGTTTTATCAATACCTCAACAATGGTATATATTTTGAATACACGGAAAATGCACGAGAAGCATCATTTTTTTAAACTTTTCTATAATTTAAAATATACATGCGTATTTTATTATTAATTTCTATAGAATATCGATAATATCAAAAATAAACGTAACATATGACTATTGCAAATATAAAGGACAAATACGATTATATGTATAAGATATGAAAAGGATATTTATTTAATTGTAATACAAATACTACGTAAACAATGCATATTATTTTTTAAATTAAACAAAATAACAAATTTACATTGCAACTCAATTTATAAGTATACCACAAACAAGGTACAGAATAGACCTATCACCTTATGGGACTTAATGTTTCACGTTCTGAAATATCGATCGTAGAAAAAATCAGAGGTTTCATTATGCTCTCTATGGTAATAGAATGATGAATTTAGGAATCATATACAATCTGACCATCAAAGATATAAGTAAAGTCGACAGATGTAACAGATCCTCGTTTGTGAAATTCGCATATAAAGATATTTACATATGCATACATATGTTAGATTGCGTGGGTGCAAATTTGTTGCATGATTTAACTTAATAAAACAGCTTAATTTATTAATTCCCCGTTGAATTAACAATTGTATGCGGTAAATTAGTTAGACATTGTTTATAACTTTTATTGACAATTGAAAAATTAATGTTCTTTTTGTGTGAATTACAGATGGAACTCACAAGAATCAACAAAAGGACGTCAACATGACAAGAAATGAAGAAATGAAATTATTTACAAAAAAAATCAACGATTTATTGTAAGATAACTGTACAAAATGTATTCTACAAAAGGTTACAATATACCAGTATTGTTTTACAGCATTTTACGGTCTATTTATTTCTCGAATTCTTTGGTTAATTTGTTTGATTAATTTTTGCGTAATTCTTACTGGAAGATGGTAATGTACCATCAGAAGTCGTGCCTACCACGCAAGATAACTCGTCGAGGTATTTAGCAATACAGAAATGAGCAAAACAAGGAAAGGAATAAAGAAAGACGAGAATAGCACTAGAGGAACGAGTTAAACAAGGAAAAAAGTAGGAGAAGACAAGGATAGCATTAAAGTAATGAGTTAGCAAGGAAAGATATAGGGGTAGGACAAGGATAAAAAATTTCAGATCGAGAGAGGAACACAGGCAGCTACAGCTACACTTGCGCGAGGGTACGAGGACGGTATAGTGGGAGACAGCGGTAGGTCATAGTGGGGGTAGTCGCTTTGGCCCACGTCCCACGATTTTGGCATCACTGACTGCTGGCATCACTGGTAAGAGTGGTCTTACTACACCTAGTAGAATCGATAGCGTTGGTAGCTATGTATGTTTGATAATGTAAGAAAGTTGATATACAAGCGTGAATATAGAGACTAGGACGAACCTAACCCCTTACAACACGGTCTCCTTTCAACACGGTTAGAGCGATGTTCTCTTGTAACACGGTTAGAGATTAGGGGTGGTATTCGTATAGCACGTGATGTGATCGGAATTTCGAAGGGCAAGTGTAATTATTGGATACTTTGGGAGATTTCATTGCGGCAGCATGCGTCGAACGAGTGTGTTGTGCGTGAAACGGTGAGGATTCTACAGTCGAGACTGTTGTAACACGGTTAATTCGGAGTGTATTGTATCGAAGACGTGTTAAGAGAGACCGTGAATTGGTAGAAAGTAGGGGAATGGGTTTCGTGTTCTGTGGAAACCGTGTTCTCGGAGGACTGCGCTCGAGAACTGGCGAAAGTTAAATGAAAGTTAAAAGCGTTAAATGAAATTTAGAAATAATAGAAACCCAAAGAATTTATTTTGTTTTTTTTTTATGATTTTAATAGTTCGTATATTAAATCAAAGATAGGATAAACAGTTATTCAGACTTTTTATAAATCTAAGAAATACAAATTATAATAATAAACACTTATTAGAAAGCAAATAACATTACTAATTTTTATTATCACTGTCGTCTGGAGTATGTTTTTCTTTATCAAATTTAAAGGTTCGTTGGAAATATCCATCTATATTATCAAATTTGACACGAACTTATGGGACGACCTAATATAAAGAAACCGGACTCGATTAACAAACCACCTGAAATTTGAAAACAACCCTCGATCCAATAATCTTCTCCTGCATTTAGAAGAAATAAAGAATCTTCTGCCGTAGCTCGAATTATTTTCCGAAATTCCCCAACCGTCTCGGTTTCATTCATAGAATAGAAATAGAAATTTTCAAATAAATTCAGTCCCCTGTGCGGGCCAATCCCAAATGTGCGGTGTTTGGGCACCGTGCAAGAGATACAAATAAAAAGCGCAACAGATATTCGAAACACCTAAGAGAAAATGATTGCCAAAAATCACTCGAGGCAATAAGCATTACTGAACGTTCTTCAAACAATTAAATTTCAGCCTCGAACGATGCCTAACAGCGGAAAGAAACGCCGTCTAAAGTTCATCTCGCTAGAGTTAAAAGAACGAATCTTAGATCGTCTTAAAAAGGGAGAAAGGGTAAGGCACGTTGCGACAGACTTAGGTTTAAACGAGGCGACGATCAGATGTATACAGAAAAATGAAGAAACGATTAGATCGTCTATTGCCGCGAGTTCTTCCACGTCCGCGATTAAGACAGCTCGTTCTAGAGCCCCGATCCTCGAGAAGATGGAGAAAGCGCTGATCGATTGGATCGACGAGAGCTCGAAAGAGCGAACTAAACCCGACAGCAACGATCTCAAACTTAAAGCTATGCAAATTTACAAACATCTGATAGAAACCGGTGAATCTCCTCTGATCCCTGAATTTGACGCGAACAAGGACTGGTTCTATCGTTTCAAGAAACGTTTCTCCCTGAAGAACATGAGAAGACCAAGGAAAAGTACGTCGATCGACACCGAAGCTGCCAAAGCGTATCCAGAGGAATTGCAAAGAATCATCGCACAACGTGGATACTCGGCTCGTCAAGTCTTCAACGCCGCTAAAACAACTTTCTGCTGGAAGAAACTGCCGAAAATCACGTTTATCACGAACGAAGGGAAGAAAGTCACTCGAAGTTTCAGCGTATCGAGCGACCGTGTAACTCTGCTAATGTGCAGCAACGCAACAGGCGATCACATCGTGAAACCAATGCTAGTTTACAAGCACTTGAATCCTCATGCGATGAGAAACATGAATAAAAACGCATTATCGGTCTACTGGACCGCGAGTAAAACTGCTCGCGTGACAGCTGATCTGTTCGAGAAATGGTTTCTAAACTATTTCGTTCCAAGCGTGGAGAGTTACTTGAAAGAGGAGAATCTCGATTTCAAAGTTCTGCTGATACTAGACGGCGCACCGAGTTATCCGCGAGATTTGAATCATCCAATCGTGGAAGTAACATTTCTACCACCGAAAACAGCCTCCTTGATTCAGCCGTTGAATCAAGGAGTTATATCCACATTTAAGACATACTTCATCGAGGGATTGTTGGAGTGGGTCTTGGTAGCGGATCACGACGAAGACGTCGAAGCGATGAAGGCGTGGAGACTTCTCTCGATGTTAGACTGCTTGGAGATCGTCTCTTCGTCTGTTGACAAGTTACGACCATCGACTTTGAACGCTGGTTGGAGGAACATATGGCCGGAGTCGGTTCAATGCGAAAACCTGATCGAGCCGGTGGAATGCAGGATCGACTACATAATGGACCATGCTAAGATCATAGGAGGGAAAGCTTTCGTTCACATGAATCGTGAGGATATTGAGGAATTATTGGTGGACGAAGAGGGCGACGAGGTAGATTTGGTGAAAGTGAAATCTGAGATAGAGAAGACGAATTCGGAGGAGGTTAGTGCCGGCGTGGACTTGGAAATTGAGAATTTTCTGAAAAGTATAGAGAAAGGTATAAATTTGGCGGAACAGTTGGAGTCCCATTTTGTGAATACGGATACTTGTGTTGAGAGAAGTAGAAGATTCAGGGAAGGACTTCAGAAGTGTTTGGTTCCGTATTATAAACTTTGTAGAGAACTGTCGAGAAAGCGTAAACGAAAGGTGGAGCATGGAAATGAAGATGCTGCGGAAGAAAGTTCGGATCAGGAGAAACGTTCTCTTATTATGCTCAGTAGTGACGAAGAAACCCAGAATTAGAGTCTATTTTTTAATATTAATATTGTGAGATTGGAATTTTTATATCGAAACTTAATATTGGTTCGTTGGGAGTACTTTCAGCGGTTTAAGTCGAGGTGAAACGAAACGATTTGGGAGAGGATTGGTTGATAAGTGTGAGTGATAACGTTGGTGTGTTATCACCTGAAGGAATTGTAGTTGTGTGGATGTTTGGAATTGTTGATTAAATTTGTGGAATGATTGATAAAGGGAATTTTGGAGTAGGAAGATTAATGTGTAATGTAAGATTGAATTATGATATGTTATTATATTAATGATAACGTGGGGATGAAATGTTATTTGTTGCGAATGATAAGGTAGAAAATGATAATTCTACCCAATCGGTTGGAATAAAACTTGTACAATGTAAATTATGGTATGTGGATGATTGTTGATAAAGAGAGATCTTTTTAGTAGTTCGAGTCAATTGTTGAGTTCGACTGATAGGATATGAGTGATAGTATTGAAATAAAGTTTGTAGTATGTATCAGTATTTTTTTACAGTATTTTACAGTCAATTTAAATCCACCCTGTACACTACATTCACTTTCTTTTGCAAGAAACTTATTGTTTAAACAATATTCTGTTGCAAAGTTAAGTAGACTATGTTATAGTTACGTTTCATTATAATTGCAACCAGTGCTGATGTTGTAATCATATTTTAGGCTGAATCGGTAATGTTGGAAGCGACACGGATATGGTAAGGGCAGCCACAGCCCTCCTGACGTAGATGAAAAAATATATCAGGTGTTATAGGTATATTCTGTACCTTGCCTATGATTCTAAGTTCTTGAAACTTCTCATAATATTCATTATTTTTTTTATTTTGTATCCTATTTCGATGTATAGTAGGGAATTTCAGTGATTAATGTAAAATTTTTTGGTTGATTCATATAATTAATTTTTGTGTAATTCGTATTGGAATATGGTGATGCATCATCAGTAGCCGTGCTTACTACGAAGGATAACTCGTCGAGGTATTTATCAATACAAAAATTAATAAAACAAGGAAAAGAATAGAGTAAGACAAGGATAACGCTAGAGAAATGAGTTAAACAAGGAAAGAAATAGCGGTAGATAAGAATAGCATTACAGCAATGAGTTAGGGTAGACGATAAAAAATTTTACAAATCGAGAGTAACGCCATCTCGTGTTTGGATCCACGAACTGCCGACTTGTTACGCGGGACACAGAATGTGAACAGAGGTATTAGACAAGGAAAGCACTAGTGTGCGACAAGGACAGAGAGATAAACGTTTCCTATTGGCTGACGGGCTCCTAAGCTACACCTCCCACGGGCTAAATCAGTCAGCCAGGCAAAAATCATTAATAACTCAATAATTAGGATGATTCTGTGAACTTTTAGAATTGAAGAATAAAGTATGGACCCTTAGCAACTTTCCCATATAATTTTTATTGTTCTAGACCCTCTCAATAATTAGTTATTAATAATTTTATTACGTGATGTCGGGACGATACCGCATACCGTCAAGTATCTTTTTGGTTTTTCAATAATTTCATAGCTTTCTACTAAATTCCCATGCAACTAACTGTATGCGTTTGAAAGGCAACTCCTTTAGCTAAATTCTTTTGTAACTTTTATTAACATATTCGGTTTAGTTTAGGAGTCATTAAACATTATACGGGAGCATCTCCTATTCGTCGTACTCGAGTATAGTCGACTGTTATAAATAAATGCTAATATCTCATAAACCACATCACTTACGCACTTAAAAATGATTGTAGAATACAGGCAAAGGTTCACTCTAAATTCTACATGCTTGAAAGTGCAAAACAAATTACACATTTTCGTGAAAATAACGGAAATTCGTTAGATGAAATGCGATGAGTGCAGTACTCACCCAAATAATGTTTAATAACTCTTAAATTACAAGGGTTATGTTAATAAAAATTATAAAAGAATGTAACTAAAGGAGTTGCCTTTCAGATGCATATAGTTTGTTGCATGGGAATTTAGTAGAAAGCTATGAAATTATTGAAAAACCGTTAAGATACTTGACGGTAAGCGGTAACGTCTCGACATCACGTACTAAAATTATTAATAACTAATTATCGAAAGGGGTTAGAACATTAAAATTTATGTAAAAAGTTGCTAAAGGTTGGCACTTCTTTCTTAAATTCTAAAAGTTCACAAATTCATCGCAAATAATGAGTTATTAAATATTATTGGATGACTACTACACTCGTCGCATTACAGCTTAACGGATTTTCGTCGTTTCCACGAAAATGCATGATTAATTTTGCACTTTAAAGCATGTAGAATCTAGAACTGACTTTTCTTTATATTCTGCAATTAGATTGGTAACCGTAAGTACCGTGGTTTTTTAGATATTAGCAATTGTTTGTAACAGTCGACTATACTCAAGTACGACGAATAGGAAACGCTCCCGTATAATGTTTAATAATTAATAAACTAAACAGAATATGTTAATAGAAATTATAAAAGAATTTAGCTAAAGGAGTTGCCTTTCAAACGCATATAGTTACATGCATGGGAATTTAGTAGAAAGCTATGAAATTATTGAAAAACCGGAAAGATACTTGTCGGTATGCGGTATCGTCCCGACATCACGTAATAAAATTGTTAATAACTAATTACTGAGAGGGTCTAGAACAATAAAAATGATATTGAAAGCTGCTAAAGGTCCGCACTTCTTTCTTCAATTCTAAAAGTTCACAAATTCATCGTAAATAATGAGTTATTAAATATTATTGGATGACTACTACACTCGTCGCATTCAAGCCTAACGGATTTTCGTCGTTTTCACGAAAATGCGTAATTTATTTTGCACTTTCAAGCATGTAGAATTTAGAGTGAATCTTTGCCTGTATTCTACAATCACTTTTAAGTGCGTACGTGATGTGGTTTATGAGGTATTAGCATTTGTTTATAACAGTCGACTATACTCGAGTACGACGAATAGGAGACGCTCTCGTATAATGTTTAATAACTCCTAAACTAAACCGAATATGTTAATAAAAGTTACAAAAGAATTTAGCTAAAGGAGTTGCCTTTCAAACGCATACAGTTAGTTGCATGGGAATTTAGTAGAAAGCTATGAAATTATTGAAAAACCGTAAAGATACTTAACGGTATGCGGTATCGTCCCGACATCACGTAATAAAATTATTAATAACTAATTATTGAGAGGGTCTAGAACAATAAAAATTATATGGAAAGTTGCTAAAGGTCCGCACTTCTTTCTTCAATTCTAAAAGTTCACAAATTCATCGTAAATAATGAGTTATTAAATATTATTTTATGACTACTACACTCGTCGCATTAGAGCTTACCGGATTTTCGTCGTTTTCACGAAAAAGCATGATTAATTTTGCACTTTAAAGCATGTAGAATGTAGAACGGACTTTTCTTTATATTCTGCAATTAGTTTGGTAACCTTAAGTGGCGTGGTTTTTTAGATATTAGCAATTGTTTATAACGTCGACTATACTCGTGTACGATGAATAGGAGACGCTCTCGTATAATGTTCAATAACTCCTAAACTAAACCGAATATGTTAATAAAAGTTATAAAAGAATTTAGCTAAAGGAGTCGCCTTTCAAACGCATACAGTTAGTTGCATGGGAATTTAGTAGAAAGCTATGAAATTATTGAAAAACCAAAAAGATACTTGACGGTATGCGGTATCGTCCCGACATCACATACTAAAATTGTTAATAACTAATTATTGAGAGGGTCTAAAACAATAAAAATTATATGGGAAAGTTGCTAAGGGTCCATACTTCATTCTTCAATTCTAAAAGTTCATAGAATCATCCTAATTATTGAGTTATTAATGATTTTTGCCTGGCCTGCTGATTTAGCCTGTGGGAGGTGGAGCTTAGGAGAACGCCAGCCAATAGGAAACGTTTATCTCTCTGTCCTTGTCGCACACTAGTGCCTTCCTTGTCTAATACCTCTGTTCACATTCTGTGACCCGCGTAATGAGTCGGCATTTCGTGGATCCAAACACGAGATGGCGTTACTCTCGATTTGTAAAATTTTCTATCCTTGTCTATCCCTATATCTGTCCTTGTCTAACACGTGATACTATTGTTATCCTTGTTTACCCGTATACCTTTCCTTGTCTATCTCATTTCTCTAGTGCTATCCTTGTCTACCCCTATATCTTTCCTTGTCTAACACGTGATACTATTGGTATCCTTGTCTATCCATATATCTTTCCTTGTCTAACTCATTTCTCTAGTGCTATCCTTGTCTGTCCGTATTCCTTTCCTTGTCTTACTCGTGTATCTTGCAGAAAATCGTCAGAAATGAAGTATTATCAGGTTAATTGATTTTTAAAATAGAAATTCTTTGAATTTTTCAGTTTCAACAATAGTTATTGTAAATTAGAGCATAATTGCACATACGACGCAGTTTAAAATTGATACTTACTATAAATTTATAATTGCTTTAACATTATTAATAACGTGTATAGTAAAATAAAGTTTTTGGTTTATCTTCAAGTACTTTAATTAAAGAATAATTAGTGTTTAATAACAATTGATAAATAACAATTAGATGGTAGTTTATAATTCATGAATGTATTAAATAAAATTATTGTATGTTTTAACTTAATAAACCAGCATAATTGATTAATTTCTCGTTGAATTAACAATTACATGCAGTAGATTAGTTAGAAATTATTTATAACTTTTACTTACCATTTGAAAATTAATGTTCTTTTTGTGTGAATACAGATGGAACTTCCAGGGTATCACAGGAATTAAGGAGAGGATTTCAGCATCAGGAAAAAGGCAGAAATGCAATTATTTATTGTAAGATTATAGTACAAAATATATTTTACAAAAGGTTACAATATACCAGTATTGTTTTACAGCATTTTACAATCTATTTAATTCTCCCTTACATACCACGTTCATTTTCTTTTGCAAACAACTCATTGTTTAAACAATATTCTATTACAAAGTTAATGTATATATTATATATTTAGAAGTATAGAATTCTATGCTTCGTGTACGAGTATATGTTATCCTATACCTTATTCGTAATTTCATAGTTATGTTTAGTTGTAATTCCATCCAGTATTAATGTTATCATCTTATTCTATGCTGAATCGGTAACGTTGGAAGCAACGCTATAATAAATTTCTAGGTATTATATTACATCTCACAGTTTTCCCGCGAAAGAAAAAAATATAACTAGGGGAAGGCCAACCTAACTGTACCACGGAACATAAATGAACAAAGATTAGAAACTATTTCGTGGTTTCGGCACCACGAATTAACGACAATTCTTCTTTTTTATACTATGGCGCTAAAATTAAGAATAGTAAATTTTGCTTGAGAATCGCAATGTGTAGACTTTATAGTTGGTTCACATGAGTCCCGAAGCATGACGTCTTAATAATTTTTTAACTCTACAATTTTTACAAGTTATTTTATGATGTTTTCTCACCTGTTATGTACTTGAATAACACTGTTTGATTTATGCCAAGCACAGTGCTGTAGTTTGTGTTGAATGTGGATACAACTGTAATATGAAGTATTTTTATTTATAAGTAATCTTGTGACTAACAAAATTTGCAGATATGAGTAATATTTACATTCAAGAACCACCCACCTCGGGTAAAGTAAGTATTAATTTAAGATATTTTAATGCATTCTCTTTGTTTTTAAAACCATAACCTATAATACTATTTACAAATTTCTATATTAAAAGATGTACACGTATTCCACACTAACAATATAACAAATTTTGTTTTAAGTGTATTTTATTTTATCAAAATTAATGTATTTGTCGTAAATAGGTAATACTGAAAACAACAGTTGGTGATATTGATTTGGAATTATGGGCAAAAGAGGCTCCTAAAGCGTGTAGAAACTTCATACAACTATGTTTGGAGGGCTATTATGATGATACCATATTTCATAGAATTATCAAAGGATTCATAGCACAAGGTGGTGATCCAACAGGTACAGGAGAAGGTGGTGAAAGTATATATGAACAACCATTTAAAGTAAGTTTGCATTTAAAGACAAAATTAACTTTGTTATTGTTTTTATTAAAAAATAACTACTAAATGTACATGTTTTAGGATGAATTTCACACAAGGCTACGGTTTTGCAGACGTGGCTTACTTGCTATGGCTAATGCTGGGAAAGATGATAATGGTTCCCAGTTCTTTTTTACTTTTGCTGCTGCACCAGAATTGCAGAATAAGCATACAATATTTGGTAAAGTTACTGGGGAAACTGTATATAACATGCTGAAACTTGAAGAAGCACTTGTAGATGAGGTAAATTCAATGTTTTTATATAATCTTATAATTGCATTAAAAAAATTAAAAAAGATTTAATAATTTGTAATTTTTTTTGGTTTCTAGAATGATAGACCACTTTATCCACCAAAAATTACAAAAACAGAAATATTGAGCAATCCATTTCCTGATATTGAACCAAGGATAACAACAAAAAAGAATGAGGAAATAAAGGATAGTACAAAGACTAAAAAGACAGGAGTAAAGTAAGATGAATAAGTGTGTTAGCATTAATTTTTGTTAATATATTTCACGATAAAATATTCTATTGCAGAAATTTTAATCTTTTGTCATTTGGTGAAGAAGCAGAGGAAGATGAAGAAGAATCTTCGATATTAAATAAACAATTTAGTAGTAAAGGCAAGTCAGCACATGACCACTTAAGTGATCCAAAATTAAGTTCACAAACAGCTGTTGAACCAGCAGGCCCTCCAAGTAAAAAAATGAAGGAAGATCGTAGTAGCGATTGGGAAAGTGATGAAGATACAAAAACTCCAGAAGAATTAGAAGCTATAAAAAAAGAAAAAGAGTATGTTTATTACACATATATTCTTATTTAAAATGGGAATTTTTATTTACAATATTGTATCCCCAGAGCAATGACAGAAAGAATAAAAAATAAATTAAGAGATTCAAAAAAGGAACCTAAGAAAACGGAAAATTACAAAGTAGATGATGATGATGAAGGTGAAGGTGAAGGTGAAAAAGATACAAAGGAAGATGATTATTACTTTGGCAAAGAGATTAGAAAAGAAATTCGGGACTTAAAACGTGATGTTCAAAATGAAAAGAAAGCAAAAGAAGCTGATAAAAAATTAAAACAGGAACAAGAAGAAAAAAAAGAGATGAAAACGGAAATTATGAGACAATATATAGAAACTCAAGAGAAATATAAAGAAGCAAAGTCAAAGATTCCTAAAAAAGGCAAAACTCGTGAAGACTTTACTATGGAGTTATTAAAGAAATTTAAATCTAAACTTCAAAATGCCAAAGAGACTAAAACAGAGAGATCGCCGAGTCCACCAAAAAAAGGAAACAGCAAAGAAGATGATTTTGACCCAAACGATGAATCTTGGATGGTACACACATTACATTGTGAGGAAATGGCACCTGTTCTTGCTAAAGATGCAAGCACAAAAGACGACGATTGGTTTGAAATTTATGATCCTCGAAATCCGCTTAATAAAAGACGAAGAGGAGAAAAATCGCAAAAACCAAGAGATGATAAAAATAGATTGTCTGATTCTCATCGTAAATAATAATATCGTATTTAATTTTATAGTTTAATATGCAAGTAACATTAAAACTTTTACGTTACTTGCTTACTGTACAGAATTATGTATAAAATGTATATTACATTAAATACATTTCTTTTTTTAAACAAAAGTCACACTCTGATATGTTTATTGAACAAACGAATAACTTTTGTAAATGGTAATTTTCAACTTTAAAAAGTTAACTTTTTAGTAGTACTTTTTAGATAAATAACATCATTAATTTTGTATCTTGATACTAGCTATGAAAGAATATTTAAATATGTGTCTTCGGTGCCGTATGGTCTTGTTTACCAGACTTCAAGAGATAACTTTAATATTTTGATGGTAAAAGCGGATAACGGTAGTGCTATGATTTTGTGCAAATAGACATGTAGATCGGAGCTTATCCCGGGCACAGTAAAAGTTGATAAGGCACTGATACAAAGCATGACATATTCGTTCACTGATTCAGTCGATCTGTTGACAGCGAACGATACGCATCGTGTATTTCTGTAACTTCGTGATCCAGTAAATGTTATTAAATGTTTCATATGATAAATTATACGTTCTCTAAGTGTTAATAAAAGTATAAGCTAAATAATCTTCCAAACAGGAAGATAGACGAAGTAGTCCTTTTAATTATATTATACAATAAAAATCATTTGTTAAGATAAAATTTTGCAATCGAGAAAGTTTATTATTATTTTTTACAAATTACATACTATAAGTTTCAATGAATTATAGAAATTTATAATTTGTGTTTGTGTGTGTTATTGTTCCAAACATCATCCACGTGTAAAAATAGTGATATTGAGTGTGTTCTATGCGACTCTTCCACGAGGAGAATGTCAACGACGCCATTAAAAATAGATATGCTTGGTATGCTTTGTTTCGTTTATACATGTTATCAGTTATTTTAAAAATATATCAGTAATACGATAATCATTATTCCCTTCCCTGAAATATTTTAATACTATAAATCGTCATGTTTTTCTAGAATAAATTATTTACTACATGTAATCATCGTCAATTGTTTATTTCTGAACAAATTTAATATATTCATGCCAAGGCAAACTGCGTATTTTAACTACTGAATCTCTTTCGTGACTCTTCACCTTTTTCCTTTACCACGTGGTAAAATTCAATGTGTACGTTATATAGAGGTGTATAAGTACATATCGTGTATATACACGTACACATACCATAATCTGGTAGCGGAGCTTTAAACACGCCCCATCAAAATCGTATTAGCATTGATAGGTGAATTAACTAATTATGCAATGACAGTATTTACTTAAGCCACTGTAAGTAGCAAGGAAATATATTGTCCTTTGAAACGGAATATAATACATTCACTCTTTAATCGTATATTCTTCTTTAATGTAGCTCATTTAATCATAATAACAGTATAAATAATCTCCCTTCGCAAGATAGAACAAGTTTTATTATTAAATTCCTATCTTACTGTACCTATATAAGGGTTCTTGCGTGTATGCGTACGTCGTTGTAAACGAGAGACGATTAGAACAGTACGGATGTTGTAAAATAAAGAGCATTATACTATGTCTTATCGTTCAGTGAAACGAGTGTACCGTCTGATGATTTTATCAATTTTCATAATTTTATATTTTTGAATTTCTTACAGACAATTCGAACGCAACATTTATTTGTCATTGATTCATCTATTATGCAAAATAGATATTTAGCGGAACTTCGAAAAGTTGAATTACCTTACAGAAAAGCTACTAAAGTAATCACGCTGCTTTACCTCTACAATTTTCTTGCAATTTGTAATCGGTTCTATACTTTCCAATGGCACTTTGTTCGTTACGCACATTCCGAACTCTTCGAAGCTTCGCCTTAGAAATTGTCTCCAATAGAAACGGCAAAAAACACAATTTCTTCGAAAAGAATCGTTCGATCGTAGATGTTAGTCTCTGTATGGTACGAATATTTGTCGTCATCACTGATTATTATTTATCCTGAACGTATCTCGATCGAAACACACGTACTTTGTTGCTATAGACGGTGTCAACAAGATAGCGACTCGAAAAATTGAGAACCGCTGTTACACGTGGCATCGTACCAAAATAAAACCCCGAATTTCACTGTACACGTATACCCGATCTTCTACAATTGTCAAATCGTCTAAGTAAAAGTTAGGTTAGTCTATTTTCCTCAAATTGGAAACGTAAAATCCACAAATAAAAAGCTTGTCATTTACCCGCGTTTTCCTGAATATATCAGGTCACGTTACTTACGAGCATGCGCCATTAGCAGAATAACCAAACTGTTTTGAATTTGAAGTGTACGTGAGTAAGTGCCTAAGTACAGCGTTACAAAAATAGCACGATTGACGTGTAATTAAAAACAAAATTACCATGCCGTAATGTTTGGCGTACAGCAAGATATGTCGAATGTTTAATTACTTGAATTACTTGCGATGTTTGTATAGCACAATAAATAAACCAATAAACGTCTTTTGCTAGCTAAATATTTATTATCCTCCGAGTGAAAGATAGTAACCATTTGAAGATGGCGAATCCACATGTGCGTTCAACGAGTATTATCAACGTCTCGATGAATTCACGGGTACATGTGTACATATATCCGACAGAGAAAAAAAACTGGCCATGGACTTTATATGTACATTCCAGGAAAATAAATTTTTTTTACCTTTTAATTTATGTAAATAATTCAGATAATGACTTGATTATATGTACATTGTACAAGTGGTTAATATTTCGATACGGTTCGTAGTGTTCTGTACGTAAAGGGTTAAAGATCTCGACAGAATAAAAACAAAAATTTGAAACATTTCACTATTGAAAAAAATTTCCCTATACGACATTTCACTTAATTGTTTTTAAATCATATAAGCATTCGTTTTTTTTTTGTTTTTTTTTTTAAATTAATTTCGGATAATCGAAATTGGAACGGAAAGATTCTCATGAGAGTTTTGGAATTCATAGAAGACGGTGCTCGTCCAAGAGACTGGCAGCCCCGTAGATCTCAGTACAAGGTACCGCTCAGGCTATTGCGATTATGTTTACTGGGAATGTTTCTTCCCGCGGTATTGGTGGCGGGACCGATGTACTTGCGATATCGCGTTTATTCCGAGCAGCTGTACCCTTTAACCGTCTCCGATCAACGGCTTATCGACGCGAAAGTGTCTACCATTTGGTGTCAGGTAAGTTAATTCCCCACTTTATCTTCTACTTATTGCGTATCAATGCAGCCAGCGGCGTACGAAAAATATTTCGAAGTTACGATTCTTCGCAGAGCCAGATGATCAAAGCGAATGCAACGTTCAACGCTTATCTGATGAACGATGAACCCAAAGTGAAAACCGAGGCCCTACCTGTCTCTATGACGAGACATTTAATACTGGAGGACGACATGAAGGAGTATTGGGGCTTTTATCTACTTCGCGGTAGCAGCGTTACCGTTTCAACTTGCGTAAGGTAGGTAATGTAAACATTCGAATAAAAATATTTGTATTAAAAGATACGATTAAGAGAGTATGTACAGTTTTGTAGAAATATACTATACTTTACGGTAGATGGCCTGGCGCTTCCTTGACGATAATTCGCGGGCACAAACATCTCCACGAGTGCGCTTTTATCGGTGACGATAGCAGCGAAGAGTTGGAGGAATTTCTGGAAGTAGCTAAAGAAAGTGGACTTCTTTCGGTGAATGAAACTCTTCGGATAATTCGTTTTAGTAAAAGAAATTGCTTTTTTACGTTAGAAACGAGCGAAGTAACGCAGAATTTGTGTGTGCTTTTTGGTAGAATAACACTGAGAGTCCAAGCAACATGCCGGATAAGATGAAGAGGGTCCAGCAGGGGATACAGTTTCACCACAAGGATCACGCTCACCTTTTGAACAATTCGAAACACATAACGAACGCGATGTCGCATCATTACAACAGTCACGAATTGGACGCTAAAGCGATGAAAGTGATTCTCAGCGAACTCTTCGCTAAAACCGTCGGCACGAAGAAAATGCAAAAAGAGAATCCTCATCATCACTATGAAGGCACTTTCGTGGAAACGGACAATATCGACAAGCCACCGGTGCAATTTCCCTCGAACGATACGCATAAAGTAAGCGATAAACAGGTGGAAAATAACATAATGAAAACCTTCGAAGAAGTGTTGAAGAAGCAAAGCGTGGTGAATGTTACCAAAGAAGAATTAGTGGAAAAGCATGGAAAATTAGGGCATGGAATGGTTCAGGAGAATGAGACAACCAAAGAGAAAGTGGTGGTTAAACTTGAAGAGGAATCATCGGGAGAAGTGTTCCAAGACGTTTTGAACAAGATCAGTTCTCTGGGTTATCGTGGCAAGAAGATCCTGAAAAGGTTGATGGATGAGATCGAGAAGACGGGTTCCGAGGGTGAATCTTTGCGAGAAGTGGTGAACAAGACGATGAACGATCAAACGCTTTCGGACGCAGAGAAACGTAGAAGAAGAAGAGATTTGATTCTCTCCTCACCTCTGCACAAAGAATTAACTGAGGAAGACGAAGACGGCGATGCTGCAATCGAAGAGGTAGAGTAATTTATTTTGAATACACTATACATACAGGGTGTCTGTTTTATCCCAATACAGCGAAATATCTTTTAAGGAAGTGATGTTAGGGAAAAAATGTTTTAACAAAGGTTGTTTGGGTAGGGGGGGATTATGTGGTATAAATATTTGTTTTCGTACAGGGTATGGTGGGGGATATTTCAAAGTCAGTCTAATTTTTTTAAATGGAATGCTATATTTTTTGATACCTAATACGATAGTGTACGTTAAGACGAGTCCAACGAGGTGCGAAGGTCGTAAAATTGCGAAAAACCGGGAGCCGGACCTATTGAGATAAAACAGACACCCTGTTTATCGTAACTGAAAAAGTAATAGTTATTACTCGAAGGAACTCGAGATGAAGAACCGTTTCAGAAAATTTTCCGCGGATTTGATCTCGCTGCGGCGGATTTCTACCGGGTGACTGATAAGAGAGAACATCTGCACGCGATATTGCAATGCGATAAAACATCGAAACGAGATTTTTGTCGAAGAAGGAAACCGATGTCACGAGATGTTCAACAGTTGACACAATTAAGTTAATTTTATCGGGTCGTAGACGGTACTCTTAGAGCGTGTATCATCTTCGATTCTGTAAATATTGTCGACGTGAAACACGATAACAGCCCAATTGAACAAATCGTAATCAGTGCTCTATCACGCGGAGAAGATATTGTGCCTCGTTAAAAACTTCTAAGCTATATAATTGTCCGTCGTTCGTATCTGCAATTTACCTGCGCGCAAATTTCCTCCGGAATGTGTGAGAGTTTTCTTATCGGGATATTTTCAAGACAATGTTAATATTTGCCGGAGAGACGGTTTTACCGGTGAACAATCGAGCGTTCTTGTTTGAGATGTATCGCTCGATGTTTCATCGCGCGTTATCAAATCCAGAGAGAGTGCGAACGATTAAGGATTACGAAAGGATTAAAGTAAAGACGTTTGTTTACAAGAAATCGAGAATAGGAAATGTTTCCCCGAATTCGTACCGGAGTTACGATAAACTACGAAAGTTCCGTTAGACAGTTGCTACGAGTAAAATATTATCTACTATCCTCATGATTAATTACCGTATGTGAAATTATTCCTGTTCTATCGCATCATTTCTGCTCGTACATCAGGATATGTTGAACCCAGATGGCATAGCCGAGGACAGAGGTACCGTGAACGAGACAACGTTGAACGATAGAAGCAACTCTGAATTCTGGAGTTCGTTCAGTAGCTCGGAAGAGAGGCTTCTCGAGTGCAAAGGACTGATCCTGAATCTACCATTAACTCCGCACAGGCATTGTACGCCGAAACACGAGGGCGAACACTCGACTGCTTCGTTTGCTAATACGGTTACATATCGGTAGGTAAAATTGAATATTTATAAACGTCTCTTAAGGAAATGGTAAAGATAAGCTGTTAAATCTTAGAAGATAGACAATTGTTTAGGTAGCCATATATTTCTACAGAGAATATCATTATTTCCCACTGTCCGCGTTGTTCCACGAATTTCGATAAACGATATCTGACAGCAGTACGACCTCTGTCAAGTATTTTTCTATTTAATTACAAGAATGTGTCAAATTTGACGAATTTGAGTAGATGTGGGGAGATACAACGGGAAGAGCCATCATGTTCGACAGGTTTATAAATTCACGATAATTTGTAAGTTTCGAAGGAACTTGAGGATTCTAGGTGTTTTGAAAAAATCCAATTTTATAGACACGAGAAATTTGGAGTTTTTAAGATCGCAAGTATCTTTGCTTTCTGACGTTTCTGTAATAGATACCAAGTGGAAGTGCGTAAGGTCTGTACAGTGAGATGGCTTATACTGATAACCTATCGCAACGAGAGATCATACGATGCAGAGCTTAGAAATTTCGCCAAGTGTCTCGTATTGACTTCGACTAGACTTCTTCTCTTGTAGATACTAAATATACATACATTCGAAAAGTTGGCGACGTGCAGTCTACAGCACGTTCACAGACGATACTCATTTGTTGCACTGACAAATTACGTAAATAGAAATCTCTGAATTCTCCTATTGCAACTTCTTATTCTGTAATTATATTCTTAGTAAAAAAAATTTCATTTGACCAAAAACGTTGATATTTCTATTAAATCTGAACTGTATCCCTTAATTAAAGTCCTACACATCAACTATCTGATTTAAACAATGGAACACGATTTTTATTTCGAATACTTTATAAATCATCAAGTATTTATAGAACGTCTTTATTTACCTATTAAAGCTGTATCGTTATCAGCATTTAATTAGTTGCTGAACAAATTCTCCAAAGATACAATCTATTTCCCAGAGTGCCAACGAACGGCTACTACTTCTTCGTCTTCAACTCGGAAAACGAGATTCAACCGAATTACTTGAGGGTACGCTTCGACCTCCTGAAGACCGTCTACAACATCTCAAACCCTGTCCAAGCCTGTAAGAACAGCACGGCGGAGTGTTCTTTGCCCTTTCGAATCTTCAGCAACGAGAGAACTGTGTTGGAATTACCCTTGAACGGCAATGACTCACAATGGAACGAAGAATACGTAGTAGTGTCAACGTGCGAGCCTAGGACAGCTATTTACCTGATCTGCATTATATCTGTTCCCTTGCTCATACTTTTGTTTGCCTTTCATTGACATCGCGCTGAGTCATTAACGAGGAAAGGACAGTATTCTGATCTCACGATGAGAACACTCGCTAAACAATGCTCACTTGTAAATATTATTTAAGCTTAACCCGATCAAAAGAGTGAGGACAAAACCATTGTCATAATTGGTGATAACGCGACAGTATTTCTTTCTTTCTTCTCGATACCTTCAATTGGCGGCTATGACAGACATAATCGAATTTTTTTTCTTGAGGAAAAATATCTATTCTGTAATATCGTGGGAAATTTTTCAATGGAATGGTAATTCGAATGAGTTAGTATAATTTTATGTTAAACAAGCGTGTGATGCGAGCGTAGGTGCTTGTTAAAATAATCGCTCGGCGCTTTTCTGTTACGTGAACGAACAAGCGAGATGTTTTTCATCTCTCCTCTTATCAACGCAGAACGATTAGCTTCGTTCTGTTAATGTTTGTATCCGCGATTAATGACATAATTCTCGATCGGTATCGGTAAACACGTAATCAGGTTGTTGTACTAAGTGCTGGAGGCTGTTCTCAAACGGAATCACGATCCGATCGTCGAAGCCAATATCGTAAATAGGGGGAAACAAAATTTTCCATCGTTTCGAACGTCGTGTCGAATTTATCGTTCAAGCGAATTAGAGATACCACTACAAAGTCATTCCGAAATTCTTTATTATCGTCCATTCTATTTATTGTATACCCTTGCGTATTGTATATTTATTACTCCGCTATACTACAATATACACGTTGTGCAATTGTACGCTTAACGACTAACCGAATATCGTGACAGTGATTTTTATGGATCTCTGAGGAAATTTACTTTACAGATTGTAGAGAATGTTTATATTTTCAATAAAAAAAAAAGAAATAAAACAACGACGAAGCGTAACAGAGAGAAAATTTCGTGTATCAGACTTGATTTCTTCTCGGAAGAGAAGAAAGAAAGGTAGCGCGACCGAAACGATGCTAATTAAGCGTCCCAGGGTAATCCTTTACGTCTCTCAACATCTTAAAAATTAATCTCCGTCCTATCTGTCCTTCTAATCCGTGAGATTAATACTTCATGCCGATGCAAGAGCCTCCCGACAACTTGACCCTGCGATTCCATGGCCGGGGGGATAGGAGAGGACGCGTTCTGGGGGTTTCGAGGGCGGGGCATCCCTTATCAGCACCGAACACTCGTGCCTTGCGCAGCCTCCGTAGCTTCAATGACTTTTTGAAGCGAATTCACCGGCACCACGGTTCGTCGTTCTTGTACGCGGACGTCCTTCCTTGATACTCATCTTGGAATATTACCAAAAGGATATCTTATCTGTGATTTCTTGTAACAACAGAAACTTTGCTCGAACGAAAAACATTTGTTGCACTGTCCTGTCGTTTCGTTGGCTCCTCGGAAATACGGAGTTTCTCCGACGAGAATAAACGTGTGTACGGTATTTCGCGGGTAGAAAATCGATCGTATGAAAATGTTATCTACGTTTCAATGGACTGTTTGCAGAACACTTTGGCTGGTTTCATACGTTGTTCAACGCTCTTGAAATTTTTCACCTTCTTTTCGGTTCAATGGATACATTCGTCGAGATCTGATAAATATATGAAATTTCTCAGATGTGTTGTATAGAGGGTGTCTGATAAATTGTAGCGTAATTGACAAAATAATTGGTAAGAAATGTAGAATAAAATTGTTCGATTGGTCGAGATAGAATTGATCTATTGCAAAGAAATGTTTATTTTTAATATTTAACACATTTTAATTGTTACACCTTGTGTATGGTAAATTGTAGTACGACTGAGAAGAAGGCGAGAAAGAAAATAAGTAAACGATATAGAATAAGGTTTTTTGATTGGTCGACTAGTTTCTGAGAAACATAATTCATAATATACAAGTATCGCACAGCTTGTGTGTGATCAAACTGTTAGCTTAAATTATGCTATAAAACCGGCAAATTTTATGAACGATAGCAAATAGTGGATGAGATTTATAGAGCGATAAGAAAGGTTCTCGAAACGAAAAGCACAAATTTCATTCAACTTTTACTCAAAATAAATTCTTTACTCAAGTTAAACGTTAGATACATTGAACTCGTTCAATTTAAACTTGCAGCACTGTAATTTCATCTTCGGTCATTTCTCCCAAAAATTAGGCGAGCAATCGAAAAAAGTTATTCTTCATTTTTCCCTTATATTTTTACAAGGAATATTGTATAATAATTACTTGCTACGTATTAAACGTTTAAAGAAAAAAAACGAACCAGCAACAGATTCATCTCTTTACACCCTTTATCCTTTCTTTCGCGTGGAAATTGCAATCGATGTCAGATTTCAAGCGTTCTCGCATCGTGTACCGGAACTTCGACAATTCCAGGACGAATCCTCGACTGTCTGGTAGGAGTCGCACGTGGAAAACAAACACTAATAATGGGATTAATATGGGGCGGCTGGTTGACGGCGATAACGAAAATTGATTTCACCCCCGTACCCTTCCTGTCCCACTCTCCACCCTTGTCGTTGTGCTTCTCTGAGGCTGCTCGTGCTGGTATGGGGATCCTATTTGAACGCGTTGACGTTTCATGGGACACTGCGCAAACCCGACGACACGCCTCTTTTCTATTGGCACAGCCTGCCCGACGATAATTCTTCTACGTGCTCGACCATATTCCATTCCTCGTTAGATTTTCCATGCTACTTCGCCGATTTCAGATGTTACACACCCGTGATTATTCGTAGCGTGATCCTCGATAGTGTTTCCATGACGTTTACAAATCTGAAAATTCCGAATTTTCGTCCCTTTTATTCTGAAAGGGCAAAAATGTATTCACGGTGATACTGATTTATGAAAGTTAGTGTTCTTGATCTCAAGAGTCCACGGTGGAAATTTTCCTTTTGGAAGCTAAGAATTCTGGAAATTATTTTGTAATTTGCAATCTTTATCAAACGAAATTTTCTATTTTAAGGTAAACAGAAAATTTACGGTTCTTTTTTTTATGGGAACTGTGGGAGTTTTGAATTATTCAAGAAGTTACTTTAGTGTTACGGTGATACTGATTTATGAAATTTAGTTTTGCTAATAATTTTGTGAGAGATTTCGAGTGCAAGGTGGGAATTTCTCTTTCGGAAGCTAAGAGTTCTCGAAATTAATTTGTAATTCGCAATCTTTATGAAATAAAATTTTCAATTTTAAGGTAAATCGAAAATTTACACTTTTCTTCTGGAAAAACTGTGGGAGTTTTGAAATTACTTCAGCGTTAAATAAAAATTGTAAATTTTTTAGATTGAATGAAATTAAAAAAATGTCCATTAGATAGTGAAATTTTGTAAACAACGTTTTTAATAGACGCGTACACAGCAGTAATTGTGTGAATGTTCGATGACCACGAAGGGTATATTTCACAGGAGATAATGCTAATGCCTAATTCGTATTCGCTGGCACGCGTAAATTGAGCTGTATGTTGCTGAATCTGTGGGAAACCGCTACAAAACCCACCCCAAGCGACTTTTTCTACGTTATTTTTGGGGCGCTTTATAAATTCGATGGGAATTTATATCGAGGGACCTGTGAATTTCACTGTCGATAAATCACGTGAAAAGTCGTCGATACATTATTATATCATTTATTTTCCATTTTCATTGCGTACGTATTTCCACATAAAACGTTCTATACGATAGATATTGCCTAAATACGAATTCGTCGTGTGCATAGATATGCATCGACGTTATTTATTCATATTTCACCACACTCCTCAGAAGTATCACACACCATATGCGGCCGCAATAATGGATTAGCCTGGAGTGAAAGAAAAAAGTCACCCCTCGAATGGGTGACATTACGAAGTAAGGCACGCGACTCTATTCAATAGTAAAGCACGTGTCGTTTATACGCCTTTTATTCTCAGATTAAGGTGTCGATAAAGTTAAAAAGCGGGTTTCTAATAGCAATATTAAAAAAAAAATTCCCTCTTAAATCAACCGTCCGAAGAGCTGAGAAAATCGTACAGTCGATGAAAATCCTTCTCTAAAGTTACACATTTGAATTTTTAAAAATCGTGAAATTCACGGGAAGAAAGGATATTTTCACGTTCTTTTTAACAGAACGAAAGGAAGAAAGAGTAGCGACGAAGTGGTTGTTTCGTTATCGAATGCGCCATTGTGCACGGATACTCGTGACTAAATCTGACTCGACATCCTTCCTGTTTCATCCCGTCAACATCTGCCTCGAAGATGCTTTCCACACAATTAAACGGCAAATAACATCGACTCACTACTTATCTAATCACCAACGTTATCAAACTCGAACTATACTTCATTTTTTTCCCCTCTCGAGTCATTCATGCCTCACTCGAATGCACTCATCTACCAGTCGATCCTTTTACGTACAATTATTACACACGAGAATTATTTAAAAAAGAATTTAAATACGTACTTCCGTTTATTTACGTCATTCATTCGTAGAATTTGACGTGTGTATACGTAAGTATGCTAATCGCGATACAGAGTTGTTTCAACGCGTTCTGCCACGGTTCACATTTCGATTGCACGTTATTCTGCAATCGTGCAACAACACAATGACTACTGCAATTCTCGTTAGGCTGATTACGCGTTAATTTTCGTGTGTTTTGCAGACGAACGTTCTCTTAGGATTGTTCGAGGCTTAGACGAAATTATAGCCAGCTCCCACGCAGATTGGCCGGGTAATAGCGCTCGAATGAACACGATCGCCGATTTAATCATTTAATCGGGATCGCGCGACGGCACCCACCTCTCCCCTGATTCATCCCTCTGGAAAATCTGTACCACCCTCCGGAGGTGTCACAATAAAACAGCTCGTGGCTGGTGGCCACTTGACAACGGCTAGGGCTTCTCGCCCCTAATGTATATTAAACAAGGCTCACTTTTTTTACACCTCTGCGTCCCCCGGTGACTCCAGGGGACGGGCTAATAAGAATCTAATTGTTTGGGAACTTGGAGGATAGAGGCCATTTGAAACAGACGATTTTTTTTCATCGAGATTGTTGAAATAAAAATTTTGCGAATAAAATGCTGTTTAATATGTTATTGCAGAGCTAAATTGTGAATTTTACTTTGTAGATCATCAAATTTTATTATTAATCTTTTGCCATTTGTAATTTACCTTTTTAACTCGGGAAAGATGAGTTAAATCGTCATTGGTTACCCAATACAGTACTATAATTTACTTACTGAGGGATTATTCATTTTTAATTTCCTGTATTAAACATGAAATATGAGGTAACCGAGGCAACTCATTTTTAATAATGAACCGGAGAGATTGAATCTATTTGAAAAGCGAACTGAGTAAAGAAGAATTGTCTGAACTTTAACACGAAAAAAATTAGAACTGATCCCCTGAATAATAACAAATCTGAAATTTCACGTTACATGACCTAAAAACTGAAAGAAATAAGGAAAGGTTTCAGTTTTAAAGTAAAAAATTTTGGAATTATTTTCAACTGTGAAAAATTGAATTCCAATTTTTTTCACCCCGTTGAAAAGAGGGGTTTATTCTACAACGCGTGTAACATTTGTCACGATAACCTCGAATACGATGTTTATCACAATGGAGAATGGACAATCGATATTTCTTTCCTTTCGTCGCATTTGCCTGGTAGTTGGGGGTCTAACAGCGACCTAAGGGTGTTTGGAGGGATGCTGGATACGCATGGAACAGTATGGGACGGTCCAGAGAGGAGCTCCACCCATGAAGCCTGCGCTCCGCCTTCGCAAAATTCATTTTCCCGGGGGTTGTACCGCACTTTCTATTAGTTAAATCGGTCTGTCTGGACTCGCCAGTTGGTTTAACATCCGCCACAATCGTAACCTCGGGAAATCTGGCGACCAAGTGTCTCAAGATAACCATAACTCGTTTTACAAAGTGACTGTTCGCCCGTTATTGTTCCATAAACGGTAAATTCGTCGGTGTTGTGGTGAAAGTGAACGAATTCTGCCTCCCAACATGGTAAGGACCTACTGTGCTGTAAATTACCCTAATTCGTGTCGAGATAGATTTTTGCTTTCTCGCGTTGAGTGATTTTTAACGTGAAGTGTTTTCGAAAGCTTCGAAAATTATCTGACGATTGAAATAACTCGGTTTTTTTTTCGTTGTAATTTAACAACCACCTGTCCTGGAAGATTTGTAAATTTTATAGAAATTTTGGAGAATTTTGTCACATCGAGTGTTCCTTCGAAATTTTCGAAGGAAAACATTCGATATTTACTAAAAACTTCAACTCAACTTTAACTCTACCACAGAATTCTTAAATTCTCCAGAAATCCCTTCTAAATTTCGTTAAAAATGATAGAAAAAAGAAGAAGTATCATCTGCAAACTTGAAATACGACAGAAACGACACATCCATCGAAATGGATGTTAATAAATGAATGTCAGGGACGCAAACGTGGGAGGGGGAGGGTGAGATAGCAGCTTCCTGTTTGCGTTATGTAGTCTAATTTCGTTCGTGACAAATCAACCAGATTTCCCGCGTCTTTTGTCATCTATCGTACGATCTTGCCACGCGGCACGAAAACTTCGCGAAGTCTGTTCGGCACACGTCGACAAATCACGTTTGAAGTTGCGTAGCGCGGAAAAGTCGTAACGAATGATCCGAGTGAAGTCGCGACGACTAATTAATAAATTGCAGTCGATGCTGACGTACAATGGCTGTGCCGGAGGAACGGTAGACACTGAGAACGGTTCTCCAGCGGAGTCGCTTTTGTCCGGCGAAGGAGAACTCGGCGAGGAAGTCGGTGATTCCCCAGGTACACCGAGGGACACGGAGGAGGAGGCGACGCTCTCGGATGAATTTTATTCCCACGACACGGACGACGAGGAGGACCAAGGAAAGAAACGGAGGGATCGCACCAATTCCGTGAGCAAACCTCCAATTGATCTTGATTGCGAATGACGCCATTGATTGCTCCGTAATCGATGGCGCAGAAGAGAAACTCTTCGAGACGTTTTTAACCCTTTCGTACTGGAATAAAAATTGATCTCAAGTTAATTACACAGACCGAATAACTGATCGCAAGTTAGTTATATAGATCGAAAGTTTCATCTCAGTTTAGTTATACGGATCGACAGATAAATAAGAAATTCTTAAAAAAAAAAAGATTCAAGAAAGGGTTGAAGAGAATTTTTTTTGGAAAAATTGTCTAAAATTCGCAATAATTTCATAGCTAGACGGTATTTCGTCTTCCGGCGGTGGCCACCTTGGCTCGCCAACACCTCGAGTAGGAAACCTGGGAGTTCGAAAGTTGTTCACGAACAGCCGAGAACGCTGGAGGCAGCAGAATGTCAGCGGTGCCTTTGCTGAGCTTCGAAAGTTGGTACCTACCCATCCACCGGACAAGAAATTATCCAAGAACGAGATCTTGCGCATGGCGATTCGGTAATTTCTTCAATTCATCCAAGAAACTTCTGTTAACCCTCTGAGAGACCTGATTTTTCTTTGCTCATCTGAAGAAAAATTACGATTAATTACAATTTTATATTTTGATGGCCATAAAGAAATAAAATATAAATAAACGTAACTTCCAAAACAAGAGAAATTATAGAGGGTTAAAAAAGGAATAATTCTTTAAATTACAAATTCTAGCATAATTCTAATTTGTTCATGTAAAATTATATATATTCTAGGTATATAAGACTGTTAAGTAACGTCTTAGAATGGCAAAAAGCTCAAGATCGCAACGACACGACGCAACACGAGGTCCGGATCAAATGCGAGCCTAACTTCACTATCCAAACTTCCACAGCCTATCACACCAAGTCCACCGTGACGTATCTTAAGCAAGAGAAGCAGATAAACGAGAATCAGTCGTACAGAACGAGCTTTCCAGGACAGAAACAGCTTCAGCATCCAATCTCTCACGTGGTGTACGACAAGAATGGAAACAATTTACTGATGATCGCGCCTAACGGTCACAGTATACAGAATTCCGTGAGCAAGAGAAGCGTGACACCGTCGACAGTGGCTGCTCAAAATCCCCTACCATCGAACACGCTGAGCAACGGAAGTCTGACGCGTTCTCCAGCTGCTCCGCGAGCCTCGAACTTTCCAAAATCACCTCAGATCAACGTGCAGGTAGTAACTAGCTCGAGTATATTAACAAATTGCTCGTCGAGTGCGTCTGTGACGAGCAACGCGTCCGCCATTAGCGGAAGTGCGGGCAATTGTAACCAGAAGAGGCTGAAGATCGAGAAAGAAGAGGAGGAACAGTCGTCCGCGCAGAGCAGAGATTGCAAAACATTGCCGTCGCCTGTGCATGGCGTACCCACGAGGAAAAGGGTGAAGGTGACGTTCGTCAAAGACTCGAATTCGGGGTTTCGTAACGATTTTCGGAGCATCGATCGCAAGTAAGAGGGAAATGTTCGCGTGGACTGTTCGAGTGTGATCCTCTGGATCGATCGATCGATTTGATTGAAAGTAGACCGTAATTTTAAGAGAGAACTCCGACTTTGAGAACGCCAATGGGTATTATACATAGAACAATTGTAAGGGATTAGACGTGATTTATTTATTTAATTCCGGTTTAATTTGCTGGTGTTCTTCATGATAATGAAAATAACGACCGATCATTGGTTTTCGTAGCGGAATAATCGTAAATGAAATTCGAATAAGTGCAATCTAGTCTAGAAAGAATTGTTCTGTTTAATATGACGAGTTTAAGGCTCGAATGATCTGTGTCATCTTTCTCAAAGAATATTTTATTAGTTAAATCGTATTACATCGTTTGTACAGTATTAGGTATACTTCTGTTTGTTTGTTTTTTCTTTTTGTAATTTACGTGTCAGTTGCAACCGTACGTGGCGTGATGTTGACGTCTCCTTGAACCCATCGTGTGCTAACTATCGAAAATCAATTTTCTATTCAAGATTTATAAACCATTTCATCAAACTACATGAAAGACACCGACGTCTGTGTGCACCTTTCAGAGTTGTAATTGGACAGTCGTGTACGGTTGAGCAACGTCGCCACAAATTGTACAAGAACCCCCGATATTCATATATAAAATTCCATCGCCGGCGCGTGTACGACACACATATTCAAAAAGTTTGACACTGAACGGTGGCAAAAGGGTGCGTGTGAACTTTCAACGACTACGTGTAAAACACTTTGATTGGAATAACTGCCTTACTAACGATGACGAAACCGACGAAATAAATCATCGAACGAAAATTATTATCAAAAACTCCACGTATGTATTTCTTATTCTCTTACGATCATTCTCTCGAAACACAGTCCAGGTGTCGAAGAAAATTCACTCTGAAATCCGGAATTTCTACGAGAACGCTGTTGTTCCTCTTTACATCGACGAAGCATTTATGAACACTTATTAGTCGCGTGTGTGTTTTCTTTTTCTTTTTTTTTTACGTCAGGTACACTTTGTATCTGGTACTGTCCCTCTTCTGGCGTTCGGAGATCTGCTTCAGACGATCAGCCGCGTAACGATCGTCGTTCCATTCGACGGGCGGAACTGGCGTTGCCGGTCTCTCCTCTGTCTGACTGAAAGCCCTTCGCGGCGGAAGCTCCACCATTTGTCTCGTGCTCTTGCAGTCTACGCTCGCTCTTTTCTCAGAATAATTGCCGACACTCGCGTAACTGGCATCGCTCGTACGCGAATCCCTCTTCGTTGGAGTCACAGGATTCACTTCAGCGTAGCTTCCTCTCGATTTACTGCTAGCGTCAGAAGGTCTCTTATTCTCGGTGCGAGTTTCCTGCGTACTTTCTGCACGTGCCGATCGCGTCGATCTTATAGATCCTGCTGTACGCGTCGATTTTACCGAACCTTCCGTGCGTGTCGATCGTACAGAACCTTCTGTACGAGTTGATCGAGTCGATGCTCGACGAACTTTCTCGTCGTAGTCGTCGGAATAGGTTCGTCTCTCCTTGATCTTCGGTTTCACTACACCCAGATCTTCGCTGTATCTCAGCCTCTCGTTGAATTTTCTCAGACGTTCCTCGTACTCGCTGTTGAAAACGTCCTTGCCTTCCGTTTGCTTCTCTTTCTTCGGTGCTTCTTTGGGTTTCTGATGATTCGACTGCATCTTCGTTTCTTTCAGCTAGGAAATTTTTAAGAAAATATTTCACGCGGTTCAATGGAATAGATGAAATTGGAATGGTATAGAAAATATACGATTACCTTGATTATGTTCATTCTATCGTTGAACTCCAAGTCTTGGCTGTTCCTGCGACCCGGTTGACAATTCTTATCCTCCTCGCTGCTGCTTTTACTGATCCACGAGTTACCATGTCGAGCATTCGTCGCTCTCTTTGGCCACTCGTTCTCCGTTTTGAAGTCGTACAGATCTCGCATGCGTTGCGTGAGCCTTCTCGATTGTTCGTTCGCATCAGGAGATATCTTCGTCGGCGGCGAGTCTTTGTTCGGCTCCAGTTCATCTGTAATTATTCGTGTGCAAGCTTCCAAATTTTCCGGCGATAATGGTAAAATGAACGATGACTGGACAACTAAAGAAAAGTCATTTGTTCATTCACCTTTTTTCTCAGCAGTGTCGGTGTCGATTTTCGACGTCACCGGCGCGAATTTTCGCAGCGGTTCCCACTTGGGCGATTGCTTTTTATCGGCTTTAAGCTGCGTGTCGTCGGCCGCGCGACAAGCTTCCGCCGCGGAGGGCTTTCTTTCCGGGCTCATTAGCGGTATCGGACACGGGGATCGATTCTTGACGAACGTCATCCATCTGGTCGCGGCGTTTTTCGTGATTTCGCAGCTGTTGCTGAGCCTTGCGAACGGAGACACATCGTAGCGGAACCTTGAGGTGTTAATTTGCGGTAGCCACCTAAAGGTATTTGGTATCAGAAATCCAGTCTTGATCGAGACTCGATACGTTTGCTTTAAGCGCCAGAAACGGTCAGTTAATCAACAACGGTTTTGTTTATTATTATTTTTTTGTTTCGTTTCGTTATTGCTTTTATAATATAATACGTATTTATGCGTTATATTTACCGAACAAACGACATCTTTTTTTTTTTCGTATCGTGCCATATACACATTTCTATCCACACAACGACCGACATCGAATTATTATTATTTATCATTATCATTATCATTATTCTATGTACATATACTTTTGCATGACAACATAGTTAACGTGTACCTCTATTAGATCTTACAGATTATTATTACAGTTAGTGCAACGTCTCCATTAATTATCACGCGAGATAGTACGCGATTGTTAATCAATTCGTTCACGGCATCGGTTTCTTTTTGACTAGGAAAATGTGCTCTGTCAACCTCGTCGCGATAGTTCTGGGGTCGCTGCATTCCGTATGCCTTCGTTCCTCGACCAGTTTCTCTTTCTTTACGTTGCCGACGTCCGCGCTATGACTCCTGCCGGCCGTCTGTCTGTACGTGGCTGGTGAGGTTGCTGTGTCTTTTTTCTCCTCTTCCGGTACCTTCGTCGCCTCTTCCTCCTTCGTAGGAGACAATTTCTTCGGCGTGCTAGCGTTCGATTTAACGTCATTATCCGCCTCGCGGATTTCCTCCGGCTCGCTCGACACGGAGCGACGTTTCTCTTCGTCCCGCGACGTCTGCGGCGACTTCTTCAACGTAGGTTGAATGCGCGTTATGTTTCTCGGTAGCGGGATCCATCGAGATGGATCGATCTTGCTAGTGTCTGGGATCTCTGTATGCCTTCTCTCCTCCACCCGTCTCTCCGTGTACTTCTTCAGACAATCCACATCCGCGCTACGACTCCTCTGACTACGAGGAGATCGTGATGGTCTTCGTTGACCGGTGCCCATTGGGCCAGCCCTTTCCTAAAGATTATATATTATAATTATTATTAGGTTTAGTTTTTTTTAATCACTTGTAGACTATATTGGCTAGAGCTGGAAGGGTTTGATGGAACGTGGGATTGAGAATCGAACGGAAAGAAATATCAATGAGACCGTTTGATTTCTTCTCGTACCGTGTCTAAAATTATTTTTCTTGAGAAATTTTTTATTACAAATCATAAAAAAAATAGATACAAAAATGAATATTGTAGGATTGTTTAGAGAAACATAACTAGAATTTGAAGTGATTCTCATACATATTGAGTACAAGTGAAAAGTCATTCACCTAAGCAATATGAAGCTTAGAGTAGTCCGATACGTGCAAAATACCATGCTGTGCGGACGCAATGTGCAAGCTGGCGCCACAAGCTCGAGGATTTATTCTGGATGTGTGCAATTCCGCGATTTGAGTACTGCAAGCGGCTGCAGGATCTCCGCTCGACGACAGGCATCCGCCCCAGAATTCGTTTCCTACGAGATAACCGGTTAATTTTCATGATTAACTTCAATAAGAATCATCAGAGTGATTTTTATCGATGCATATTATTCGACAACCTGGCAACGCGTTTCCGTCCCACGCGTACGTCACCACGAGAAGCTTGTTCGTGTCTGAGGCTCGGAACAGTCTGCTGTGCGGTTCTCTGAGAGCGAAGTGAATCTTTATATCTGGAAGATAATGCATTGTTTTGTAGCGATTGTGTTACTATACACTGGGTATGTTGAAATCGTTAGCAAACCTCCGAGGTAGTCGCCGTTTCCGGCGTCGCCGCATTTCTGCTGATGGAAGTACGCGAACATTATATCGGACACGTATCTCAGCTTCTTGTTCATCTTTCTTAAGGCGATCTCGAACGTTTTGAGGAAGTACACCTCTTGGTCTTGAATTACTCTCCATACCCCTGGAAATATTTTGTTTTAACGAAACATTTGCTATATTTTTGCAAACCTTGAAATTATTCTGAATTGTTTTGTTTTTTATTTGAACATTTATCGAAATTATTTATTCAATTTATATTGAAATGTACAATCTTCTCTACTAACCGAGACCAAAGCCAACGACGTGCAAGAAAGCGGTCGTGTTTTGCTTCTCCGCACGCGTGTTCGCCTCGAGAAGTATAATTTCAACGGTGAGCAGTGTTCTCTTCATGTAATTCTCGATGTCGAAGATCGTTTGAGTGGTCAAAGTAAGGTATCTCTTGTTCTCTTTCGATTTCAGCCGTTTCAACGCTTCATCGTACAGAGGGTGGTAATCTTCGCCGTAGAATTTCGCCCACAAAGCGCGCATCCCGTGAAGCTCTTCCGGACTTCCACTCGTAGGCGGTCCGAATCTATTGTACAAACATCATAAAATACCCAGAATATTTTTTCATTAAACATTTCATAAACTATCTCTTCTTTAAATATACAAGGTTCTTTTTTTAGCTCGAAATAAAAACACATGATTTTGTGAACGGAGCTTTACTTTATCACTGAAACATCATGTTTGTACAGCTCTGGTATCAAGAGTAATATGAATTTTTCAGAGCTCCTTGAAAAATGTTTCATACTTAAATTCTTCAAATTTTTGTAACATCGTACAAAGGAGAGATGCAAATTAAAGAGAAAGTCAAATGAATCTTCAATTCAACGTAGAAGAACGCAATAATAAAATAGCTATGTCTGCAGTCCATACGACAGATTTCACAACTCACCCGTTCTCCACAGTGTTTTGCAGAGGAGTAATAAGAATGTCTTGGTATTCCATGGCGCGTGGTCGTTTGAATCTGCGAAGAATGAATAGGAAAGATGAAAAATGCAAGCTTTCGCTTGAAGGTTCGATCGTGTCTTGTTGCATTTGGCATAGACTTTGTTAACGGAAAGCGTTAAATAAACATAGAAAACCTTGCTCCCACGACACCTATAATGACTCCTCTCGGCTGTACGGAGTCTGGATCGGTACTCACGACGCCTCTATTCTCTCGCGCGCCGTCATTTATGAATTCGGTGTGGGAAGACATCGCCATCATCGCTGACAATTTGATCTCGTCGTACGATAAACATTTTGTCAACACCTATTGCGATAAGAACGAGATTAAGGGCGGACGATAAAGATATTGTCGCCGACGAGAAGTATTTTTAGTGATCCGAAATTTTTACGTGCCACTACAAGTTCGTAATTCGTCGAAATCGGTAAGTAAAATATTTGTGATAAAAGAAGTCGTTTAAAATAATATTTAATCGTGTTATCTCGTTTTAATTTTGTAATATTCAATTTGGCGAAGTTGAAAGAGACATTTTCCTCTGTAAATTTTATCGAACACTCGGTGTATTTTCGGATATACGCGTAAATTTATTTTTACCAATTTATTAAAAGATACGAATCCTGTACAGGTAACGTGTGAAAAGAATACCGATGAAAATACAATAAAAAAAAAATATCAAGGCTGATAATACTGTCAATGGGATTCGTCAGATTTAATTGAACCTAAAAAGAAATCAATTCTGTTACATACAGTGTTTATAAAGATACATGTTCTCGTAATGGATTCTGTGTAAAAGAAAAAAAGTATTCGTTTAGATATGGAACGAATTTAATACCGACTGTTTGTACCACAGAGGAAACGTAAATTGTATTGCCTTTTAAAGCTTTTATCGAAAAACTTTTCACGTTGATTCTGTATTTTAACGTATTTTTTTTTAAACAAGTGGTCGATAATCTACAGAAGGAAATATTTTTCGAAAGTTACGATATATAAATATAAGACAAGCATAACTGTGTTCACTGTTAACAATATACTAACCAGGGGTTCTTTTTCGTGATCAGTACCAACATTCTCCCATCCCTCCACTCCTGTCTTACCATCGATCAGTTTCCATCGATCGTCAGAGCCATAGAAATGAACAGCTCGTTTTTCCAACAAACGATGAATGAACTGTACCAATCCCATGTCCTTGTACATCGCTCTTTCAATAGCGCTGCCGTATATTCGTTTGTGTTTCAACCATCGGGCGAGAAGTGGTAACATCGCCTCGTGTACCAGCGGATAAACCGAATTCGCGTTCATCTAAAAATTCAATTTCACACATCTAAACGCTCGATCTTCACGGACACAAGCTACGTACAGAAGTAAAGAGACATTTAAACGTTTTCTACAACATTGTAAAGATATATCGTTAAATTACAATTGCAACAGTTCTTCAACGTTCAACGAATAGAGGAAGTCCCTAAGAGATTCTAATGGTCGAACCTCGAGGATGTTCGTGCTAACTCCTCTGTCCCTCAGCGCCGAACATCTTGTCGTGTTAATCGGAAAGTTTATTGGGAATGCCTCGCTTCGCTTGATGATTTGCGGCAGTGTGGTGGGCGTCGGTGTCGAGACGTCGATGCATTTTCTCAACAGCTCTTTCGTGTCCTCGTCGAAAGGTACGCCGTCTGGCGCGCCCAGAGTGTTCTCCCACGATATTTCCGGCGGTTCCTTCAGTAACGCTTGCTGCCGTGCCTCGTCCATTCTCCGTTGATTCTGCGGGATAGCAAACGCTGAGGGAAAAACCGAGCAAAAATTCCAGCGAAACGACGAACGTAATTCTACACGCGAAAGTTTTCCTTGTTCCCGAGTCGATGAGTCACGGTTGCAACACGTTGCAATCCAATACGGTCGATTTACAAGAAAGAAAGGTCCGCGTGAAATTAATACTTTGCAATCGAATCTGTCGACCAGAACACGCACATTTGTTCTTAACTTTTTTTCCCCCTCGTTATCGACAGGACGTGCAGATTTTGTTATTCGCTTCTTTTTTCGATTTTATTGAGAATAAACCTTTGCTACGTGACGTGGGCTAAAGGTGGACACAACGAAACGTGTGGACGCGCGACGATTCTAAGAAAATTTTGCGAAACCAAAGTCCGCGTTCTATTAATAAGCAACGCTGATTAGAGCAAGGACGCGATCTCTTTGATACTTGAGCATGAAATCCGTTAAGTAGCGGAAAATGTATCCGTTCACCCTAGCGAGTTACGCTGAACA